ATTTTTAAAATATTTAACAATTAAAAGTGAATATGATATTCTCGAACAGATAAACTGGATTTCTGAATTTTGCAGAACTAGTAGATTTAAAGGCCTGTCACTTGAATTGTTTAGAGAAAGTGACGAAATTTATTTTGTTCTGCAAGTGCTTTTTTCTTGGTATTAATTTCCATTTTGGAACCCTTTAATAATTTTCAGTAGTGACACATACAAAGTACAAACTTGTAAGGACTAGTTACATCTTTTCCCCCGTTGACGGGGCGGATGTAGGGGCGGAAGGGGTTCACCCAAATCACCTTTGTCACAAAATTACAATATACATATAAAATAAAATTCAATTTGTACTTCTTGAATCTCCTTGATACGGTTCAAAAGCATAGCTCAGTTGCCAAAGGTTTTAAATCTTTGCTAGGACGTTGGTTCAATTCTGACTACAGTCTCCTTTATTTGTTAACTTTTTTTTTCTTTTTTGAACCCCCTTAGCTGTAAACTTGCCTACACCATTGTTCCCTTGTGTATTGCACAAGATACTATTTCTGTTGGACCGCCCGTTAAGCTTTGATTGTATACCATTATGTTTACCCTAAAAAACGGATAACAATTGAATTTATATGTTGTTTTAAGGATGTGCGGAGTAATTCGATACAAATGATAAATTGCGTTAGATTAAACAGATAAATGACGTAATAAATTATCAAACCACTTAAGAGGAGTGATTCCGGACTCGGTAACAGCCTCAGTGAAGTGCCTGCCTTCGATCCCGGACTCACAATAACGAAGCACTGATGAACAAGAGTAAGAACTCTGAATAACAGAAAAAATGAGAGTATATTGCCTTGATGTGCTTGTTACAAAAATGCTAATGAATAGTCAGACTCCCTTTTATATAGTAGGGGAGTTTTACCTTAAGTACAATTCTATGAAAGGTAAAATCTTCCGTTTTACTAATCACTGATCTTCTGTCGGTACGTGCCGAGATTCACATTGTGACATCCGGCTAGGCACGGATATCATAGCCCTTTGTTAGTCATGGTCGGTTATCTGATAACATTCTCCGATGTTTAGGGATTTGAATTGAACCCGGGGGTGTGGCCTCAGTTCGTTTGAGGGCAGGTGTTTTGCCCGGACCTCGATTCGAGGGGCTCATTGCCTCGATTCTGGTTCCTTACAGTCACATCTCTACTCCATTTACTTCATCGATAACTGAGGCGTCCAAAGGGCTTGGTTTCACCCGTACACACATTTGTCACGACCCAAAACCAACAGTCGTGATGGCGCCTATCGGGGAACTAGGCAAGCCACTACTCAACCATTTCAACACAATAAAAGCTTCGAAAAACACGAAAGCAATAAATATTTTGAGAAAAACACTTTTAGAAACATAAATAAATCCGCAACTCAATACAAATCTCTCTCAAAACTCGGAGTGTCACCGAGTACATGAGCATCTATACAGGGATACAGTCTGCTACAAATCTACGGAATAAGAACTGAAATACAAGTAAAGATAATGAACGAGAGTCAAGGCCTGCGAACGCCATGCAGCTACCTCGATAGTCTCCCGAGATCCTGACTCCTCACTCAGCAGCCGCCGTGACCGGAAGCACCTGGATCTGCACACGAGGTGCAGCGTGTAGCTTGAGTACAACCAACTCAATAAGTAACAAATCTAACCTTTGGATTGAAGGTAGTGACGAACTCAACCGGTACATTTCAATATTAAAATATCAGTGCAGAAACATAGGCATGCTTTCAAGTTCAACAAATAAACTCAAAACAGTAAAATAGATCAAATATGAATGATAAGAAGAATATAACTCCTCTACTTCTACATGCCAATGCACATGTTGTATGTGATGCACCATGCTGACAGCCTCATGTGCTCAAACTCTCAAACACTCAATCACGCAGTACTGTATATGGCCAATCCGGCCTAGTGAAGATCCATCCCGGAATATATACATCAACTGACCATCAGTCACCCAGTATTGAGTAGGGCCAATCCTGCACGTGGGGAAGATCCATCCCCAGGTATATAATACTTCGGACAAGATCCATGTCCAGAGAAGATCCATCCCTCATTATAATTAACCGCGCTCATTGGGGTTATGTGCAGACTCCGGAGGGGCTCCTTCAGCCCAAGCGCTGTCATAAATCAGAATAACCGCTACGGCTTGCAGCCCAATCCCATAAATGTCACTCATAATCAAGCCCTCGTCCTCACTTAGTCATCAATATCTCCCGTCTCTCTCATGGGCCCACAATGTCATAAAACTAGCCCAAACATGAAGATATGATGTAACAGTAAATAACAACAGAGAATGATATATAATATGAAATGAATGAATATGACTGAGTACGAAATATTAATAAAATCAGTAAGTCAACAGCAAAAGATGACCACTAAGGGTCCCAACAGTACCAGCATATAGCCTAAACATGATCTCTAGCATGATTGACAGCTCAATTACTTTATCACATGATAAAAACATGGATATCAACAAGATAGAACTACTATACAGTGCCATTGAATCGACCAGGTCACAATTCTCACGGTGCACGCCCGCACGCCCGTCACTTGGCATGTGCTTCACCTCAACACCAATCACATAATATATAATTTGGGGTTTCAAACCCTTAGAATCAAGTTTGGAAGTGTTACTACCTCAATCCGAGCAAAACTCTACTCCAACACGCCTTTGCCTCATAAATTGACCTCCAAATGACCCAAATCTAGTCACAAGCAGTACAATACAATCAATACGGGCTAAACAAATCAATCTTATAAGAACTTACGAAGTTATAACTCAAAAATCCGAAATTGGCTTAAAGCTGCTGATCGGATCCAACCCTACACCACTACAAAGTGGCAAGCATGGTCAATGCAGCTTTTACCCGAGAAGGTCGGGATCGAATCCACTGGGAGCTACAACAATGTTTGGAGTTGGATTTCTATCTAATCTAGCAGTGCGTAGTGCTCTTGATTACACTTCCAATCATATTTGTTTGATTTGTTACTTCTAATTTTATGCTAATGATATGCGAAGTTAAGCTAAGTATGAATGCTTGAAAGGTTTTCTAGATGATTAACGAGGCACTAGGGAAGCGACTTTCTCCTAGGTGAATACTTGACGGGTTCTAAATCCTAAGGCAAAGTTGTTATGTTTGGGATCACGATATAGCCAATGCACGACACTACTCACTCTATACCTCTCGATAGCTCGAGTGACTTTTCCCTAATTGACTTTCTCAAGACCAATTGGGTGTCAAAATTATGCAAGCAATATAGGCTCAAGTCGGGTATTACTATCTCTAGATTTAACCCTTTAATTGGGGCTATCAATCTCTTGAATACGCCCCAATTCCTTGTTGAACTGATTTTCCTAGACTCAAGCTCTCTTTCTCAAGAAGAGCCCAAGTCAAATAGGCACAAATTAGTGTTTGCAACCACTAATTCAACATGAAAAACACAAATCAGTCCAATATCAACCACCCATAAACATCTAAGCCTTAAAACAAAAGACCCATCAAATATCCACACTAGGGTTGAGCCACAACCCTAGCTAGTGGGTCTACCTACTCATAATAATGGAAGAAATAAGGTATTTAGATGAAGAACAACCCATATAATATGATTACAAACTAAGAATTGAATATTCAATGTTAAACCAACTATAAAATTACTCAAAATAGGCTAAAACCACCGTTCACGTGCTCAGCTAAAAGTTAGATGACCTAAAATTCTGAAAAAGAAGTATTTATACAAGGCCGAATTATCTGGACAAAAATACCCCTGACGGAGGTACCGCGGACCGCGGAAAATGCACCGCGGCTGCAGTGAGACTTTTTGGCTTGATTTCTGAGTCTCTGAATCTGTCCACCATGGACCGCATATAATGCATTGTGGCCGCAGTGGCTTCACTGCGGTCCGCACAAAATGGACCGCGGACCGCAGTGGCTTCCAACTTCCAAACTCCCAGCTCTCTGAATCCCCTCTCCGCGGACCGCATAAAATGGATTGCGGCCGCGATGAGGCTACTGCGGCCGCGAAGAATCTACCGCGGACCGCAGTGCTTGAGCTTCCAAAATTGCATCTCTCTGATCTTTTCCACCGCGGACCGCACTAAATGGACTGCGGCCGCGGTGGGTTTGTTGCGGCTGCAGTGGATTTTATGTTGCAGCAGTGCCTTGACTTGTTCTTGGTACTTGTGCAAGTTTCACTCGTTTGTTTGAGTTGGTTTTGACTACTTGTCACTTTTTTGACCAAACCCTGCAAACAAGTACAACATGTAAGCCTTTGGGACTATTTGTATACATTTTTAATCAAAACTCAAGTAAAAAAAGAGTGTAAAATGAACTAGAATCCCTAGTTATCATTGAGCCTATACTGTTGAACTTGAAAGCATGTTTACTTTTCTGTATTGTGACAACTGATTATGAGATTTTTCTCTGAGGTATTACTGTCATTTTCCTATCATATCTATATTGTTATTATCTAGACTTCGACTGTACCTATCTGAACTCGTCACTGCTTTCAATGAAAGGTTAGTCCTGTTATTTATTTAGTACATTGGATCGCACTACAATAAAAAAGGCTTCTAGCGGCAATAATTATGCTCTTTAGCGGCAATATTTATCGCCGCTAAATCCTTTAGCGACAATTAGATATTGGTCGGCATATCCAGCGTCGGCAAAGGCTTTAGCTGCCATTACAAAGAGTGCTGGTAAAGATCCTTTCTACTGCTGCTAAAGATCCATGAGTTTTAGCAACAAAATTGGCCACAAGCCCTCTTTCAAAAATTCCTAGATCGCACATGTTGCTTCTATTTTATGGCCGGTAAAGGTCTATCATATTTCCAGTAAAGGAAGAATCTTTAGCGGTAATTATAGTGGCTAGTAAATGAGAACATTTCACAACTTTTCTTACTGTTAGTAAGAATTAAGAAAGAGCCAACATTTTAATGCACATCATGCCTATTTACATTCGAATAATAAAAAAATTATTCCAAAAAGCTCAATACATTTAATAGAATCTACGACAACCAAAGATAACAGATAATCCATAAATATCAAATGTACCAACAACATAAAATAAAAATATAAGGTAAACTATGGATCCAATGCTAGTATAATTGTGCATCTAATAATTGTTATCCAATAGATGTAATATTAGACAATAAATGGCGCTGATAAATTTCTTTCGCTCTCGATGACATTGAAATCTTCCACGACCAAATTTCTGACCAAAAACTGCTTCATGCTATTTGAGTTATGACATATGGCTTTCTTGTTTAATTTTGCGCATGAGTTTTCCACGGCTATAAGATACAATATTTTCCAAAGGAGTCTTGGAGAGCAATGAAACTTTCAGCAGTTGCAGCACCTAAATCAGGTTATGCATCGGAATAGGGAAGTTCCATAAATTTAAGGATACTCAGAACAGTGCTTACTCCTCTGCAATGGGTAAATAATTCAGATTATACGAAAAATTAAAAACTAAACTCAAACTGAATTTTTTAATAAGGAAGAACTAAACAATTTCTAAGAATTAGATTCCACCACAGCTAGAACATAACTCACAAACAACATTTAAAAGCAAGAAAATCACAAATAATGCCTATATCTACATTGACAAAATAGTCATAAAGCAACTAACTATTCAGAAAAGAAATTTTAATCCTTTTATGCATGTAGCAACATCAGCAAAAAAGAATACACTTGTCTTTGGATATATTATAACCTATACAGGATCAAGAAAAATAGTTTGGAATTTCCATTTTCACCATTTCCTTGCAAAGTGCACTTCTAACAAAAGGGAACGTAGAACTGACAGAAGGAAAAGAAGAATAAGTAGAGTCCTAAGTCTAAATGGCTAATGTATATTGTTTACAAAGATTTGCCAAGCAATATGACTCAACAGGCTATGAATAGGCAATTGCCAAGAACATTAATTGTATCTTATTCCCAATGAGAATGACAAGTTTTTCAATTAATTCTATGGATACAATTCCAAATACGATACTGTTTATTTTGAGAATTTCCTTAATGTTTAAAAAGCACAAGAGATGTCCCATGAAATGCTTTACCGTGGGTAAGCTTGGAGGGCAGAATTTGGGCTTCTCTCTTTTGTCATACTTCAGTAGATGCAGCTCCCTTCTTCAGTGAAATTATAACCTGGATAATGTTTGAAGGTCAAGTAAAAATAGGAAACAAATAATTTGAGTATAATAATACTTCTGCTTGCAGAAATATCCTACTAGCAGCAGCACAACCAAGAAAACATGACACAAGAAAATTATAATTTCTTAATATACAGAACATGTATATTTTTTAAGATATTATTTTCAAAAATTTATCTAGAATCTGAGAGAGCTTCTAGCAGCTTGAATAAGATAGGAACTAATGAGACAATTGGCTAGCGAACTAATGAGGCAATTGGCTAGCACACTAAAAAGCCGAGCTAATTTAAGTTAGTAAAATTTCTAATCGCATTGGAACTGAAAAGAAAATGATTTGATTCTCGACTACTCTCAAGTTAGAACCAGGAAAAAAAATATAAGAATGCAGAAAACAAAAATGAGATTGAAGAAGACATCAAAAAGATTCAAAATTTAGGCCAAAAGTTAACTAAGGGTCTGTATAGAGCTACATGTAAAAGCTTAATTACATTTCTCAATTCGGATACTGCAATCCTATTCTGCACAGTCAATCAAGATATTTTAGCTATAAATTGCTCTTGAAATTCATGCTTTTAAAATTAAGGTAAAAGACAACCAGCAAAATAACCAAGTAAAAAGGACTCTCTGCCTTACAGAAATATAAAATTATTAATTTCTTGGCATAACCTAGAATGAAGCTATTCACTTAATGATTGAGCTGCCAGAGGCAAATAACGTTAACACTCAACAATATTCTTTTTCTATTACTTAGTAAGGTCCAACTCGTGATATCAGATCATCATTATATATCACATGATAAGTACTAAATTAAACCATAACAATCTTCTAATCCACAGATACACTCTATATAGCGAAGAAATTTTAAATAGGAAAAAGATAACTAAAATTAAAAATAGATTACGTCAATTAAACTAGATACCTATTGAAACACCATTCTCAACAGCATCTAATGCCTCCTCGTCGTTGTTGTTTCTATACCCCATCTTCTGATAATTTTGGCCCCAAGAATCGTCATAGTATTCTGTAAAAATGATGAAAATGTAAAATATGTAAATAAATAGTTAGATAAAAGACGAAATTTAACTGTAAGAAGACCAAAAAGGAAAGCGTGAACATGCTTTTTAGATTGAAGAAAAGAAACTAATTTGCATTCTTACCTACTCACAATGTGAAATTATGATCAAATACAGTAACCCAAAAGACTCAAAAGTAGTGCAACAAGAAGACACAGGTAGGCAATTAAAATAGGAGAAATATCCAATATTTAGTCACACCTTTAGTGTTACTTTTAGCCAATTTTCTAGCTTCTATCACCTCCACCTTGTTTGAAACACTTGATATTGGACAAATGTTCAACTACCGGACAATATTAAACAGTCAAAGATATGAAACATCTGAAATCAACATAAAAATGGAAGACAAGAGTCAGAAAGTCTGCAAAAGCAATTCATCGAACACCTAAATTACAAAATATATTTTCGCAGCATCAGTGTGGGAATTAAAATAACCATGAAAGCAACTAAAAATATCATTAAATCAAACACATGAATGCAAAAGCACCGGACAAATTCAATACCACCGTACAAAGAACAATAATCAGATTTCAATCGCAAGAGTTAGCTAGCGTTTTATATGGCGATAGTAAAATTATACATATGATATCGGTTCGCATATTTCGTTTTCCATCAGGAACCTCAAGACAAGGGCTTCACGACTGCAAAAATAGTTTGATTGTTTGCAAGAAACATCTCTCAAGTCTCAGTTCATTGTGGATATGCTATCCCTCATCGGTGATAATAGGTATATAGAGAGGGGCGAGAGAGAGAGAGAGTGAGACGATGAAGTTACCTAGGATGGTGGCTGGTGATGGTGAGACAGAGATGAGTTGGGCAGCAGGAACGATGAGAGCCTTTACGGTGCCTACTTCTGAAATAATTTCGCGATATACAAAGAAGACCTCAAAAAGGATCGGAGGGAAGAGGTGATTGATGTCGAAAAAATTGGAGGGACTGATTTAAAATTTTCGCTTTCAATTAGTGCTTTAGTGGGAGTTTTTGACCAATATTGTCCCTTATCTTTGAGGTTAGGTTTATTTTGGTCCCTCAAATATAACTCTGAGCATATTTTGTCCCTTAAGTATGTTAAAGTGGAGCACCTTTAATCTCACTGACTAAATGTGTTCAAAAACTAACGGTGTTAACCAACTTTGATTCATGAAGCAAATCTTCAGCTCTAAAGCAAAAAGATTCCTCTCCTTTTATTGGATAACGCAAGTTATCACTTTTATTCCTCATTTTTAGATAATGTCTTCTAAAATTTTGACCTTGAAAATATCCCCTTCTGTGCAAGTTTTTAATGAGAAAATGACACTGTATAGCCGTTGTAAAAATAATGCCGAAATAATATATAAAAATTATATATTATTTTGCATATATATACATTTTGTATGTTAATATACAAAATTATACAAATTTTATATACTTTTTCGGCTACCAGATGTAAATAGTTTCTGACGCAGGCTAAAAGTGATAATATAATCTGGTTATTCGTTTGCTTCAATAATATACCTATTAAGTGTCTTGGCAACTCTATTTTTTTTCCACATTTTAACTATTCTTTTTGGAAAAATCACCGAAATTTTTAAAAGTGAAAGTTTCAACGTTAAAATCTTAAATCAGCTATGTACTATTAGTGGGTGTTGGTTTATAGAATATTTTCGATAAGTAAACTAAAAAGACGGTGAGTGCCGAAACCAACCATGTAATTGATCTTGGACAGATTCTGTCAGTGAGACTGAAGGTGCTCCATTTTAGCATACTTAAGGGACTAAATATGCTCAGGGTTATATTTGAGGGACCAAAATAGACCTACCCTTAAAGATAAGGGACAATATTGGCCAAAAACTCCTTTAGTGGTCATTTTTTTTTATTGCGGGTAAAAGGTATATTTTCTTGGCCAATGCTCATTAGCCAGTAGTTTTTCATTTGTAAGAAAAAATTAGCAACAATTAACTTAATGCCACTAAATAATTGCCACTAAAAGTACTTTTTATTGTAGTGTTGGTTGTACTCATACTACACTATGCACTTCGTGTGCAGATCCAGGTACTTCTAGGCACGGTGGTTGCTAGACTTGGAGCATTTCCTACTTGGAGATTTTTGAGGTAGCTGTTTTGGCGTTCGCAGACCTCGACTCCCCTTCTTTTCAGTTTATTTAGCACTGTTTTATCTTTTTAGACAGTTGTATTAGAGTGTTGACTATGTCGATATTTAGTAGCTCATATACTCGGTGACACCCGAATTTTGGGAGATTTTGTATTTGAGTCGTAGTTATGAATTTCGATTATTTATGAGATTTTCACTGCTAAACTCAATATATCATGTTTTTAAATTAAAATGATTAGTTATTTTATGATTATCGGCTTGCCTATTACTGCGATAGACGCCATCACGACATGTTGAGATTTGAGTCGTGACAACGAGTGTTTAAGCATGCAGAGTGTATTATTTTACGTTTTTATTTAAACCATGTCTTTACTTATTTCATGTTATCATTTGTTAGATGCTCATATGTGATGCATGTTTTACTTAGTATGTGTACTTACTTGTTATATGTCCTTAATTGTTACACGTTCTGACTTACTTCATACTTTTAGTTATTGTACGTCTTTATTTGTTACGTACTCTTACATGTTATTACATACTATAACGGAATCTTAATATCATTAAGATGTTATACATTCAAAAATTTATGTAAAAATGATATTTCACTATTATTCCTACACTTTTAACACTAATCACCATTACCACCGCCATTGCTATCTCCCACCATTATAGACTAACATCACTATATATTGCCCATCACTATTATCAATCACCATCGCTATTAACCGCCACCGTTGACTACTACTGTCATCACCATCTACTACCCATAATCATCACTATCAACCACCAGCCACTACTCAGTCGGCATCCCAAACCACAACTGTTATCCGTCATCACAACCAACCACCATATAATTTCAAAAAAAAAATTATTAATGTAATATTAGATTAATTAGTATTATTTTATTTGAATTTATACTTATTAATTTTTAAATAAATATAAATTTTACATATTCTGATGTAGAGAAAACAAACAATCTTAATTATTCAGTATTTAGATATTCATGATACATCTTAATATTCAAATGTGTATTTAGATTCAGATGTTTTAATCTTAATACACATATTAATATTTAAATGTATATTCAGATTCAAACGTCTTAATCTTAATAAAAACAAATGAGGCCTAAGGTCGCCGAAGGTAACAAATCTAGAATCTCCCCTAGGGGGCCCAGAAACTCCTTACCCTAAACTTGGATACTTAAGATGGTTCATATACTATCTTGGAAAGGCAGGAGTATCAAAACAATGGGTGCACTTGAGAGACTCAAAAGTCTCAAGAGGTCATACCAACTTCCATTCATTAGTATCCAGGAGCCTAAAAGGAAATCAAATACCTAGTGAAATACAAGCTGAATTGGGGTCTAATCATGCCTATGGTAACATCTCTAATAAGATATGGCTCTTCTGAGAGCCTAGTCTTAAAGTGCAAATCTTGGAGGACAATGTTCAACAAGTCACTTGTTATATTTTTGTTTCTCATTGTACTGAGTCTGTCTATGTTACTTTTGTTTATGCCAAATAAACTAAAGAAGATGTTATGAGTCTTGCTAATAGATTCAAGGACATGAGGGATGGTTTGTGATTTCAATGTAATCACCTGTCCTGAGGAGTGTATGAGGGTGTATATTATAAAATGCATGTGGACTTTTAGATGCAGGTTATTTTGAGACTAGAGCTAATTTTCCAAAAGACTACATGGAAGAGGTTAGATAGAGCTAATCAATTATGTATCAATGGTTAGAGGAATTCAATCTCAATTTGATAGCCCTAAAATTAGGCAATGGTATAAGTAACATAATTGCGTAGATTAGAAGATGGAAAAGACTGTTACATGGATCAAAAGGCTAATGTTTCAATATATAATATTAATTGTAATCAAACAATATTGTCGAAAAGAAGCTAGCTCATATTAGCCACACTCCCATAAGCATAAGGAGGAAGGCTTATATCCCCTCCCATTTGTACCTTTTTTTATTTTTGTTTTAATAAAATAAATCTAAGTTTGGAATTAGGATGATCCCTTTATACTTATGGAATTACTTTATAGCATCATTCGACCTTGTTAAGTATTGTACGTTATTATCCTTATTGTGTGTTTGTATTTAATTTATTTTGTTTAACAAGTAGGTATAAGAAAGTTTATTTGTCTAATCAATTTGAATATTATGTTGTTCATTAAGGGAAAATAAAACACTCTTATCGAACTTTCCTTCTTTCTCATGACTCAGAATGAAACCTTTAATTAATGTTAACCAATTACTATATCCCTTTGCTCATTGTACTTAGTGGGTGTTTGGACATAAGAATTAAAATTCCTAAAAAAAAAGTGAGAAAATTTTTCAAGTGAAAATGGTATTTGAAAATTAGAGTTGTGTTTGGACATGAATATAATTTTAGGTTGTTTTTGAATTTTTGTGGTATGTATCAGACCATAATGGATAGTGAATTTAATAGAACGAAATCCGCTATTGTATGCATATTTCATTAACAGTATCATTAATGCTAATGAGATAACTTCAATTTCGACACATTTAAGGTAAGGTTTGTGATCTGAGTGAATTTTGAAAACAGCTTTTTGAAATTTTTCAAATTTTCGAAAAATTCCAAATTCATCTTCAAATGAAAATTAAAAACTTTATGACCAAACGCTGATTTAAAAAAAAAGTTAGAATTATTTTTGAAAAGAAGTAAAAAAATTCTAATGTCCAAACGGGCTCTTAATTGTTAAAAGCAAAGACATACTTATGCGCACTTAGAAAAAGCTTTTGTGGTCCATATAATTTAGAAAGATGGCCTAAAAAAGTGATTTGGCTAAACGTGTTCTCTGGGGTCTATATCTTTATTTTCAGTCTTCGTCTCTTTTTGTTCTGCCTATTCCAATCACAGGAACCACGTTGCAATTCTCTTGTTAGTTATGGCTATTTATTATATTTCTGTTATGTGTTATGATCTACATTTATGATGAGAATTTAGGATTTTATCCCAAGAAACTTTATATTAACTCAAATTCTTCTACTCGTTATTTATTTTATAATAATGATTTGTATCAATTGAAATATACCTCAATTAATTCATCAATACCCGTATTTTCTTCTATCTTCTCTTCACGTGAATGAAAAGTTGAGAAAGATGACAGATAAACCATATTTTGGTACAATTGAACGATAATTAGACTATGGTAGAATCTTAACCAAATAGCTAGAAAACTCGTAGTATTGCTTTTCCCCATAAAATTAATTATTCCCTATAGTCATTTTTACTTGGCACGTTTTGACTTTTTACGCCTTTTAAGAAATAATAAATGAAGTATATAATTTACCATGTTACCCATATTAATTGATGCATATTTTATTGGATTTGAGAAAATAATTTGAAATGGTAATAGATATTGTGGGTAAAACAGAAAAAAATTTGTTGTCTTTTCTTGACATGCGTAAAATGCCAAGTAAAAGCGAACATCTACTTTTAATATACATGCCAAGTAAAAGTGATCGGAGGGAGTATGAAACCTTACTGCAATAATCCAATATGAATGTTGTACATTTTTATCAACGGGAGTGATAGTGTCAAAATAACTTATGACTGTATGCACAAATACCGAAGCGGATAGTGCAATACAACACCAATGAAAGGCACACAGTATTCGCAACAAAACGCAATGATGGTTATTTCTGATAATAAGACGAGTTGCTTTATAACGTATAAAATACACGTTTAATTCACCATCGTTTTCAGAAGTTAGTTCCAAAGTAATCTTATTGTTTGGTTACTGAAAATGCATGATTAAAATCTGATGAAGACTAGGTTAGAATGAGTCACGTGACTATCTT